CAGCAGAAAAGGGGTGGGAGAAAGAAACAGCAGAAGTTCTTTATGGAGCTGACATCAGATGACCTAATGTCTGTGCTTCTTTTTCTCTCTCTGCTTGAGTAAGCTGTAAACAGAGCTGAGACAATTTATACCAATAAAATGGAAATGTTGTCATTATCTGAAGTATGCTCTTGTATGATCCACCTAATAAAGACATCAAAACACCATTAACAAGATACTCCCTTTGGAATTAAAAACTAGCTCCGTTCTTGCATATTTACAGAACCAAGCAATTCACTGCTTGTATTTCGGAAGTTTTTTGCAACTGGGACAAGAATTACTGGTAATTTTCTAGTAATGCTTTTTTTTCTTTTTTTTTGGTTGTTTGGTTGGTTTTGGTCGTTCTTGTTTCTTCCACAATACACCCTGCATGCTACAAAAGCTGTGCCTATAAGCCTGCAAGATCTGAAAAGTGGAAAAGAAAAATAGAATCATCATCATAGAACGGCCTAGGCTGGAAGGGACCTTAGAGATCACTTAATCCAACCTCCCTGTCATGGGCAGGGACGCCTCTCAACTAGATCAGGCAACACATGGGGACCAAACCCACAACGTTGGTGTTATCAGCACCACGCTTTAACCAACTGAGCTAACTGGCCCCCAATAGCCCAACATCTGCAAAGTGATGCCCTGTGGCCAGGTGTTCCCCAGCCCACACTATGTCAGAAACAGTTACAAGGCTCTAAGTTTCATGATATACTGGGCTGCCATGTGGGAAGAACTGAGTTCTGACCAGACCTTACTGTTTCACGTATTGCTCTTTGAGTAGAAGAGAACAGAATTGTCACGAGAGTCATCCTTGGATGGCACAAAGATGGGTGTCCCTGTTCCAGGTGGCAAGGACTGTCCTGCATGGGCACTTCATGTGGCATCCAGTGACAGGAGCTCTGCTGCGGTGGATTTTGCTACCCAAAGAACTTCTCGGAGAATGCAATGATGTCTATGTAACATTCTGTATAGATCTTTCTAATCTCTATATCTGAGCACCAGAGACGCAGAGGTGGCTTTCAGTACTCTGCATATTTTTAAACAATTTTCAGCCTATTATGGACGGAGCGGTTTGTTTCATTTATAGGAGGACTGATGGTGCATAGTCCAAGAAGGCACTATTAAAGACTGAAGCATTAATATTCTTTTAAAAAGCATAGGTCATTTTAGGATGCTTTTAATAAACCTACTTGGTCCACAAGGAGTTAATTCTCTGCTGGATTTACCAGTTATCAGGCAGATTGTCCTAAGAAAGTCCCTGGACTGACACTCTTCTGCTGTCCCCTCCCTTCTTTGTTCTCTTCCTTCTTTCTCCAATTACAGTTCCAAAAACAACACCCAACCTCCCGAGGTCAATGGTTAATATTCCCGCGTGTTTATATAGTCTCCAGCAGCAGAGCTGGGGCCCTTCAGCACCGGGCTAGCTCCAGCACCATGGCCGACCACTTGCAGATCCTCCTAGCGCTCAGGAAATACCTGTTCGTAGTGCTTGTACCCCTTCTTGCTCTTCCTCTGCCTCTGGCTGTTCCTGCCAAGGTAAGAACTTTTTCAGTTTTATTTGAGAGCTAAATCTCCACCTCTTTCCTTAGAGCTGTTCCTTGTAAGTGACAGAGCTGAAGAGAACCCACAGTTCATTCTCAGAGGCACTTATTTATTGCTTGAAGATCTTTCTTTTATTTATTACTTGAAGATCTTTCTTTTCTGAGCAGTCCCCTCTGACTACCGACAGCAGGGGAATATAAAAGCAATAGGACACAGATGGATGAACAGACAGATCTGTGACTGCATAGTCCAGAGGAATGCTCAGTGACACGCGAATCTGTAACTTTTGCTTTGCATTTAGATGATTTAGCAAAGGACTTTCTGTGCTGCAGGTCATACATGTCAACCTAAGTTGCAATTGAAGGCTTAATTTTAATTCCCCTTCTGATTTTCTAAAAGCATCTACTCCACATCTTCTTTTATTCTTTTCCTCGTTGTTGTTATCAGATAGAAGAGGCATTTTTCTTCCTCACGTAGACAAGGCATTCCAATACATAAGGACAAAAGAATATGTATTTCACTCTTTTAAAAGTGTATTTCTGTAAGATTCTCTCCAAACAATGATTTAAAATTTAAAATTTAAAATTTAAAATGCCAGCCTTTGGAAGACATATTGCTTAGGATTCCTTCAGAAAAAGTTAACTACAAAAACCTGTAGTAGTGGGGCGAGTGTTTCTGAGACATTCGTCGTTCAAGTACAGCGCTGCGAGGAGGCAGACTGCCAGCATTCTGCTTCTTCACTCCGGCTTATTTCTTGCACTTCCAATCTCTTCATGCAGACAGATCAAATCTCTGCACTTCAGGTCTCTGATGACGCTCCCGGTGTCATTAAATAGCCAGCCCCAATCTACCTCTCCTGTCACTGCTCTTTGGACGTCAAGTCCGAGCTCTTTCCTCTGGTCTCTGTCTGCTTGTCTCCTGATCTCTGCTGACTCCGAGTTTCTAGTCTCCTTCACCAAAGCTTCATCCTGCACTCCACTAGCTCTTCCGCATTTTTTGGTGCAGCCTGTCCCAAAGCTCTTTCTTCCTCGCAGTTCTTTTGCTGAGTGTTGTCAGAGACTTGGGAGCTATTGCCAGAGGACTCCAAGCAAGAACTCATCAAGTGGCACTTGATGAGGTGAAACGTGGTAACTCATCAGGTGTATCCTCTTATTCTCACTATGGAAATAAAATGGCTTAAACAAATGGCTTAAACTACCACTTAAAAGTTTACTAAAAAGAAAAAAAAGTATTTTTTTTGCTAGTTAACTTTCCACAGGCTGAGTTACTGAAGTTAAAAGAAGTCTGGATCAGAAAAATTCTAAGTAGCCAGAGAGATTTGGTTTTTTTTGTCCTAAGGCCACAAGTTCAAATTTACTTCCTAGAGCTATTGTTACCACACAATAAATCCTTGGTACTGCAGGTGGAATAAATTGACAGCCTTGGTTCAGTTCCTCTTTGAAAATTACTCTCTCTGGTTTCTGTGTAGTCAGCTACAATGTAAAAATATAAAATGTTCTGGACTTCTGTAGGAAGATGTCTTGTGTTAGAATTGTCCATCGTGGTACTGCTAAGCAGGAAAAACTGGTACCTCAGCATGCAGAGTTGTAAGCAGACAACAGGATAAAATTTCACATTTTTCTGTTCTGTTGAGCTATTAACCTGTCCTATAATGACATAGCACTGGACACCAAACTATTACAAATGAGAGCAAACAATGCTAAAGGATTTGTCCTTACAGGCAAACCAACTTTGTGAAAAGCCTTATTGCTTTACTGAGAGCCTGCTTACAGCAGGCTGGAAGTGAATAGCACTCTACCTATGATTTACGTTCCAAAGCCCAGCCAGGCTCTATCAAAAGGCACCCACTAGCATCAAAAAGGCATCTTTTAACCTCTTAATGAATCCCTTTCAGCTTTACTTCTCCAAACCTGTTGCTCTGGTAACTTACCACCTAGATTGCTATCTTCTTCTTTCCTCCAGACTGCTGGGCTCCCCTGTTCATCCTTTCCCTGCACCAGCTCTGTAACTTCTCTGCCACATTCAGAAGTCCTGAGCGTGTTCTAAAGCATCACAAGTTTGATCCTGCCAGCCATTATCCCAGCTCCTTGGATTAATCCTCTGTAATCTAGCTGTCACAGTTTCCACCTTTTCATTGTTTCCTCCGTAAGCATCATGACATTTTCATTCATATTCCCTGGTATATTGTAGTGGACATCCTTGATCCAAGACCACACAACCACTTTTTTCTTTCTTTGGATTTGCTGGCACCCATCATTGTGCTAGTTCCAACTTGAGGAAGCCGCCGTAACCTGCAATGCTCACTTCCCTTGCTTTCTTCACCAGCCCAGCCACATGAAAATCTGTTGGGACTTGCTATTTTGAATCTTCTTAGTCAAGATAGGTGGAGTTAAGTAACTTTTTATAAATTTGGAGCGGTTGTCCAGAGCAGCACTAAATTAATGTTGCCTCAGAAAAAGAGTAACATGAAACAGTGGATCATGCTTTCTTCAAAGAAACAAGACAAAGTCAGCACAAGCTGAAACCGATCTATGGCCATCTGGGCCGTGTCCTGAAAGACGTGGAGAAAAAGGTGGGAAAACCTTGACTGGATCAGTAACTATTTCTGCAACTCAAAGACAGAAATATACAAAAAAACCCCATCACTGTCAGCAAAAGCAAGAAGTCTGTGCGGGGACCACTAACCCCTTATCATGAAGGGTTCAAAGGCACCAGTTTGTTAAGTTTCCCCTTTGGAGGCCCCCAGCTTTTCCTCACAAGTCTGACAAGGTTGTTGAGCAGTTTGCCACTTGATTAGGATCTGCATAGGTATGAGGACAGACGGGAGAGAAAGAGAGAAAATAACCTTCTCTCAAACCCCTTCATCGGGCAATAAATATAGTTATGGGCTGTTGCCTTCTCAAAGCCCAAGTGAGATGGACTGTCTGTTCTGACTGCGTGCACCCTTCTTCTGTCAGGAGGCCCGATGCGGTTATGTTATCATTGTGATGGCACTGTTTTGGTGCACAGAAGCCTTGCCACTGGCTGTCACAGCTCTCCTTCCTGTCCTGCTCTTCCCAATGATGAATATCATGGACTCATCATCGGTAAGAGATCTTTATGCATTTTTGCCTGTGTATTTAGCGGTCAGCTTCTGGGATGATTTCCAGAGTGATTTCTAGAGTGCTGAGCAAAGAAGAGAACATTGCACTATTGTCACACAGGGACTTGTCTGTCCTCTCCACGGAACAGAATTTGCACGAGCCCAGAGCGAACTCTGGGTGGAGCTGGTAATCTGAAATCAAAGCAAACTCTGTGTTTAGATGTAATCCGTACTTGTTGTGTGCTAAGGTTTCTGGGACCAGATCCTCCCTCAGAAAGTGCCTTCTCTCTAAACACTGGCTTCTTGTCACTATTTTCTCTCCCTTGTTCCATGTTCCAGGTCTGCCAGGAGTATTTGAAGGACACCAATATGCTTTTTATTGGGGGACTGCTGATGGCCATTGCTATTGAACACTGGCACTTACACAAGCGTGTTGCTCTGCGGGTCTTGCTAATCACTGGTGTCAGACCAGCCCTGTGAGTAACAGTCATGAAAATGTTGTGGGATAAGGGACTTCACCACAATAGTTCCTGTCTCCGAGTTGCCCGTGGTCTCAAATGTGAACCTGAAAGTCACATCCTACAAGTGCTTTTCTACAGTCCCGGAGAGTTGATGCCTGAGCAAACCTTGCACGCTGGGATCCTTTGATTTGTTACAGAACTGGTGCCCCTTTTCTGAATTCCAAAGGGCTTTAGGTAGAGAAACAGCAACAAGAGGGTCAATGCTGAAAAGCCAAGGGTGCACCTAGGCTTGGCCAGAAGCACAGCTTTGGACCATCGGGAAAGACTACAGTGGAAACATAGAAAACATATACTCTCTGTTACACTGACTGCAAAGAGAAGAGAAAACAGACGATGCTTGGTTTGAAAACAACCAGTGTTTACCAGACTAGAACTTTAAGCTGTGCAGAGGCTACATGGCCCCATTTAATTTGTCTCAGATCATAAGAAGAGGGAATACTGAAGGAAATTACAAAGCAATAGAATATAAACACATACAAGATAAAGCTCTTTTCATCTAATATGTAATCTACATCTCATCGAAAGAATATTTTTGAGACAAATAACATAGTAATACTGAAACAAGGATTAGAATTTTATATGACTAAGAGAATCTTAAATGATAGAGGTGGGATAAATTTACAAAAAAAAATAAGGGATCATCTTCCTTATGGCTTAAACTAATTGCCATTTGGGATCAAAGTCAGCTTGCAAATTCCACTCTTCAAAATATATTCTAATACATTAACACCTGTTATTGAGATGGTGTATTTTCCTCAGAAGCAAGCAGAATAAGCAGGATACCGACTAAGTGCCAGGGGTGAACTGCTAAGCATTTTCCAAATCCTGCATTTGTAACCAAAACTTTGTTTCACAAAAAAAAGGCATTGCAGTGCTGAGTTCTGAACGGGCTTTTCCAAACCTTTTCATTTCAGGCTGCTCGCAGGTTTCATGGCTGTGACTGCCTTCCTGTCGATGTGGATCAGCAACACGGCCACCACTGCCATGATGGTCCCAATAGCACAAGCAGTGCTGGACCAGTTGCACCGATCGGAGTTAGAGTCTACAACAGCTGGCCAAGCTTCTGGAAACACCAACAAAGCCTTTGAACTGCAGGAAGCAGAGACATCTAAAGAAAAAGAGGAACAAGGTGAGGATGTTCTGGCTGTTTTGCTCTTTGGGATAATGGGGGATGACCTGATGCCTTCTTCACTGTCCTTAGAGTTGCTAGTAAACTCCAAAAAAACCTAGTAAACTAGTCTGGTTTTTTACTAGTAAAACTAGTAAACTCCTGACAAAAGCACAGTAAGATCTACTGACTTGGCTGAAGTTAGAAAGAGATTGAAAATAGGAAGAGATGCTAACTAATAAAAAACCAAAATTATAAATTCTCTGTTAGCTGCAACCTTTATATATAGGCTTGATATTTCCCTGTATATTTAAGTTTGCTCAGTTGTTATCTACTGTCCAACTTATTAGATAATACGGAAATTCTGAGGGAAAATTTCTGGCTGACTTGATGCCAGAAGGTTAGGGATTAAAAAGAGCCTCCTAATCCAAAGATACACAATCACGCAACAAGATCTCTTTACCAGCTGGCCTCCCCTCTTCCCACCTTTGAGACAATTCAAGTGTTCCTGAATGTAAATCTCCGTGCAGGCGGCCGGGTGCTGGTACAGAATGAATTCCCTTCTGCCCAGCTCCTCTGACTCTCTCGTTCCTCCTCACATTCTTGCCTCTCTCCCCTCCATGTGCATCTCAGACTCTGCCCTAGGTCACCAAGAAGTGTCAGCCTTATGCTCGGGCTTTATCACGCATTTTGACTTTTTTTCTTCTCAAAAACTGCTCTGTACATCGTCACAACCCGTGAAAATGGACAGAACATCAAAGAATTAACCATGCCAGCCTTAAAATGAGGAAACTTGGCTCCTTCAGCTTTGAGTTCATTGTGTCCTAGCCTTGAAATACTAAATTAAACAGGCACAAGAATCTTTCCTATCCAACCTACCTTCTGTAATTCTTTTGTTCCTGTCTTGGGACCTAGGTAGTAGTCATGTCCTGACAGTCGAGGAAGACAGAAAGAGAAATGAAAAACTGGTAGAAGAGAAGCACAAGAAATTCTGCAAGGGAATGTCTCTCTGTATTTGCTACTCAGCCAGTATTGGAGGGATTGCAACTCTGACTGGGACAACACCAAATTTGGTACTGCAAGGACAAATGGATCAGTAAGTTGGGCTGAATTTGGGATGACACACCCACTGAACTGCTCGTTGTGCTAGAGCTGACTTCCAGCCAACACAGAGAAGGAAAACATCAATTTCGTACCTTTATTGGGAAGTTAACTTCTCTTCCTTAGGAAGCCTCACAGTACCTCTGCGTTTCTGAACCATTAATTAAATGCAGAAGAGAGAGCAGAATTCTGGACTCTAACAGCCACCTGCATTTTACAGGCTCTTTCCTGACAATGGCAATGTCATCAACTTTGCCTCTTGGTTCTCCTTTGCCTTCCCCACCATGATTGTGTTACTGGTTTTGGCATGGATGTGGCTGCAGATACTGTACCTGGGCTTTGAGTAAGTACCCTTTACACACCGCAGGACAGCTGACAGGCCTGGTGTCAAGTCAGCCTTTTCTGGATGAGCCTTTGCTTGAAAGTCAAACAGCAAGTGACAAAGTCCTCGCTAGCACACCAGAGGCTAGCACCACAGCACGCTAAGGATCTGTCTGTTATTTTAAAATATTTGGCAGCTCTTTGCTACCTGGAGATCATAAAGCCCTGTCAATCACACTAATGTTGCCATTATTTCCCCATGAGCCCAGATCCCACTCCTGTTTATATTTAGATCATGAGCTTTTAGGGGCAGGAAGCTCCTGTCTGATCATCTGGGCAATACACAGTACCAGGCAGTTACTATCCAACAGCTATGGCTGCTGATGCTATGACAATAATATGTATAAATTTCTATATGCATATATAAATACATCTATCCAAAAGACACTGTGACTGAATACCAAATTTGGGCTCTTAACTCTCAGCAAACTTCTCTGATATTTCTTGTCCTTTTTTTTCTAGTTTTCAGAAGAATTTTGGTTGTGCTACAAATGCCTCTGCAAAGGCAAGGGAAAAACAGGCCTATAACATTATCAAGGAAGAGAGCAGGAAACTGGGCTCAATGAAATTTCCAGAAATAGCTGTTTTAATCCTCTTCATACTATTAGTACTGCTCTGGTTCACAAGAGAGCCGGGTTTCATATCAGGTTGGGCAACAATCCTTTTCAACGAAAATGATACAAGGTATCACCACTTTTCCTCCTCACTTTGAATAAAAATGTAGACGTTTAATTTCATAAACATTCAAACATGGCTAGAAAAATAATCTAACTTATCTATTGCAGCTATGTCACTGATGCTACAGTTGCCATGTTCTTTTCAATTTTGTTGTTCATCATCCCTTCCGACTATCCTAAGAGAGACAACCAACAAATGGGTAAGTTTACCGAAGGCATCAAAATCACCTGTCAGAAGAGGTACATGGGAAGTTTTAATTTTAGATTGAGAGAGGAAATTTCAAACACTAAACAAGACTTCAGGCTGCTTTTCCTGTATAACTACAGCTGTATGCTTTAGGCTAGGGAAGGCACATATCCCATAAATGTTCTCTGCTTCTTGTAACTTAACTCAGTAGGAAACTTTTACGCCAGCTGTGTTCCGGACTCCAGTGTCTGCATCTCTAAAAGCTTCTGAAGCTGGAGTGTTCGGAAGAGAATACATGACTTAACAGAAACACATAGGGCTCTGCAGCCACGCTGCCGTACGTTTAATTTACTCTTACTTGTTCTCTGCCAAGCCCCTCGGAGCAACGACAGATCATTCAGTAGTAACTCCTGCAAGTCAAGTCTGAAAATCCTTGTTGCTTTAAAAGATAACTGCACAGTCTACTCCTCTTACTGACAGAATCGTCTCCTGATGTTTGCACTAAACTCACCTCCCACCAAGAAGCTGTCCTTTCTTTGCAGGATGTAACATGGCTTACCAAATCTTTTTGGATTTAGGCACGTCGAGATTCCTAGCACCTCCGGCTCTCTTGGACTGGAAAGTAGTTCACCAGAAAATGCCATGGAACATTGTGTTTCTGCTGGGAGGTGGCTTTGCCTTAGCCAAAGGCAGTGAGGTAACATTCCTCTGCTTACCTGGTGCTTGTGTCTTCCTGGGTGTTTTCCATCTTGCTTTTCACGCCTGCTCTCCCAGGACACAAGAGGGCATGCTGGTAGCACCAAATGTGCGCTTCCTCAGCTGGAGGCAGTAGACCTCATCCTTAGGAGGAGTCCTGTGATTGGAACACATCTTTATTGTTGCCTCTGCAACTGGGCTGGCACTACTAATCAGGGCAGCATGATTACTTCTGAAAGCGTTTCAGAAAGTGAGTCCCAAGGTTTTTTTTGGATTCAGAAAAAGCCCCAGATATTGATCCTGTACAACTAATGGCCTGAGGGAAACAATGATTTGCTGTTCAGTAACGTCCTGTAAATGTAGGATCTCCTTCTTCCAGTGAAGGGAGGTCATGTTAATTTTTATTTAACCTATAAGCAATGCCTCTTAGACAGTTTTCTACAGAAAGCAGTTTGTATGAGAACTGCTATAGGAAGGGAGGGTAGAATTGGTATGAGAAATGTAACTGGACTGTGATGTGGCTATTTCTTCTCCAGCCTACCATCCTGACAGATCTCTTTCCTCTCCTACAGGAATCTGGTCTGTCTGTGTGGTTAGGTTCCAAACTGACTCCTCTGGAGCAAATCCCTCATCCAGCTATTGCTTTTGTGTTGTGTCTCCTTGTTGCCACTTTCACTGAGTGCGCCAGCAATGTGGCCACCACAACCCTCTTCCTCCCTATTCTGGCTTCAATGGTAAGTTCCAGCTTTTTGAAATACTCTAAGAAAGAACAGCTTTCAAATCTTCTCTAAGCATACATCTGACTGACATAGCCAAGCACTGGTTCAGAAACCCCATCAGGAATACAAGATTTTTGAAATATGTATAAGTAGGTGCATGCATATATATTCACACACACGGTGCTTGGTTCAAGCTTTCTGAAATCATTGCTGGCGAAAAGTAAAGGGATTAAATTCGTTGGCATATTAGATTTTGCCTTCTGGCCTAAACAACCTCATGAGGTCACTGCCAGCTGTACTTGTTTTTTCCCATTTGTTCTGCATAGAGACAGCAACAGCAGCATTTGCTTCCCTGCCACATTCCATTACTGTATTTCACCCCGACCACTAGCGTTCCAGAAGTCTCTGAAGGTGATAGCATTAGTCAGGCCCTATGGCCTAACTCACGCTTTTGCATTTCCACAGGACATTCCTGTTGCTGGGGTAGACAGAGCTCTGCAGCTCTGTCTGGTTCCAGACAGAAACTGGAATGAGCTCCACCAAACTCTTTTTGCATAGGACACTCACTCCAGATAACCCCTAAACTGATCCACTCACCTTCAGAGCTTGGGCTATGCTGCTCCCCCTGATAATTTCATTTTGTTCTGAGCCACACTGAAGTCCCTCCACCTTTTTTCCTGGTTCTAGACTAGACTGCAACCGCTATTGTTAATTTGTACTGCAGCAGTGATCGGATCACAAACACAAAGCATGAACCACAAAATTAATTCTTGCATTCGCTGCATACAGACGTTTGCTAGAGGTTTCTAAAGCCGAACCAAAATATGAGGGGCTGCAGCGCTTGGGAGAAAACAAGGTTTCTGACACGCGCAGATATAAGTGGTCTTCCTCCAAAAGATTTCTATGCATTTTTATACATTGAAACCATCATCTTTTCTCTCCCTTCTTGAATAGGCTGAAGCGATCTGCCTCAATCCACTCTATGTCATGCTGCCCTGTACGCTTGCTGCATCTTTGGCATTCATGCTGCCAGTGGCCACTCCTCCTAACGCCATTGTCTTCTCTTACGGACAACTCAAGGTTATTGATATGGTGAGCAAAAGCACATTCTCTTCAGAATTTTCATTACTAGTTTTGATCTTTCCTTTTTTCTATTATTAATTCTTCCGGGAAGAGTGTTAGAAAACTCACTGCACTTGGCTTTTATCAAATGGAAAGAACACACATGTGCCAATTAATAAAGGGTCGCACTGACTCTTACACAGAGCCTTATAAAGATGCTGCGAGATTTTGAAGAACAGCCAAGGCCTCTTGAAGATGTTCCAAAAAGAGCTTGCTGTCAATGAGAAATGGCAATGCCTAACTGTGAGAGGAGCCCAAACGTGGGGATGTCAGAGTCCTCTCACTCGGACAGTCTTTCTGCAGGGACGAGAGGAAGCCCAGCACATCTCACTAGGCTGCCCTCATGCCCTTCTCACTGTATTAAGGAAGATGGACAAGTATGCAATGGCTCTAGATAAGTTTTCTAACTCATAATTGATCCAAGAAGAAATCCAAAGCAAAAGGCGAGGTCCTACATACTTGGATTAAAAAAATTTCTGGGCTTCTAGTTTAAGAATTTTACCCCACGGAAGCTCATTTTTTACTAATATGAATTGCATGTGTGAAGAAAACCAGCGTAAATGTAATTTCTTGTGGTTGTGAAAAAAATGCCACAAAGAAATTCTTACCATAGAAACAATCCTAACCATCAAGGAAGGGAAAAAGTGCTTGTTTCAACTGATAACCCTTCTCTTTTATAATTCCAGGCCAAAGCTGGCTTTGTACTCAACATTCTAGGAGTTCTGACGATAACTCTTGCCATCAACACCTGGTCTTCATCTTTGTTCCAACTGCAAACGTTCCCATCTTGGGCAAATAAGTCGGGTACCTGCCAGTAATACCAAGAGGCAAAGGAACCAACAACTGTTTGTTTGGTAGGACTGCAACGAGAGCAAGACATAAGAACTCTGCACAAGGTTTGCCAAGGCAGTGGCTGAGAGACAGGCCTGTTCTGTGGACAAGGACAAGCCACCTACAAGCAAAATCATTCACTTGATAACAACAATAAAATTGCCTAACAGTGCTGTTTGTCAGGCCCTTTGTCACTCCAGCACTAAGAAGAGGTAACCTTTGGCTTTTCAACTGTTCCAGCTATCTTCAGAGTTTCTGTCTCTTTTCACCAAGTGCAGCTACGTTGCTTTTCAACCTCCACCCGTCAAGTCTGAAATCGGCAGTGAGGAAGAGGAGTGTGCCTATCAAAAGAAGGAGAGAGACTCTACGTTCCTGGTTTCATGCGTTTATCTGGGTACTGTCACAACTAATCTGACTGCTCACCGGTAAATGAGTATCCAGGCCTCCGTGTCTATGTTCAAAATGTACATGATTGCTATATACTCTGTGGGTATTCACAGCAAGGGATGTGTTGTGTGATTACAGACAAATCACATACCGTCAGCCCGTTCTACTACTTTGAAACATATTTATTTGCAGTCCACTTGTTATGAATGTAAAAGAACATTTTCTCCTAGAACATCCCTCTCATTGTTATTTATGTAAGATGACAGCCTGCAAGGTCGTGGTAAGAAGAGCAATATTTGCTTGAGAGTGGAAGAATTTCTGTGTCCTAAAATATATACAATTAAATATTTTTTTTATATACCCCCGTGTTATGGAGATTTTTCCTATTATATATCCCTGCTTCTACCTCTGTTTTCCATGTATCAGCTGCTTGTCTGTGTGCTTACCTAAAATACCTTCACATAATCAGAGGAGATAGTATAATTAATGTTTTCTTATCATTAAGGTAACAATTACTTATTATTAAGAGTCCAATTTTCTTGGACTCTCAAAACCAAGACCTTCCATTTCAAAAGCCCCTAATACTCTCGTACATTTAATCTGCTGGAGCTGACTTTCAGCAGCACATACATTCCTAAAGTGACAAAGACACTGGAATATCCGAGGAGGCTTTGGCAAATGAAGCACTTAATACCATAAACGAGACTGGGTTCAGACAGATTAAGTTATCCAGTATGTGTCCCTGAACTTTGCACTAAATGCTTTCTTCTGCTGTTGCCTGCATAGTTTTGCACAAAATCCGTTGCACTCCTGAAATCCCACTCGAATCATACCGGTTCAATGAGAATGAACGTGAGTTTGCACTGCTCTTCAAAATCTTTCTTCTTTCTTTCTCTACCCTAATTATTAGGAGACGAGGACAAAGTGCTTTGTGCATTTGATTTACAAAATGTTAGAATTCACTGACCTCCAGTAGTTTCTTTCCAGTTCCAACTGTCAAGCCTATTCTGGTACGTGCTGACCACTGAGTCCCTTTGCACCAACAGCTTCATTGGCCTGACAAGCAGAGTTGCTCTGCAAAAGCCCTGTCTCAGGAAGAACAGTCTGGTATTAACCCTTCCGTGGCTTTAAAATACAGGGGGTTGATTTGATATGTGACAGGGATCCAATAGGGATCCACAGCACAAGAAGGAAGGACATTTATTCTCTTTTGCTAATGAACTCTTGGGTAATTGATTTCAATCACATAATGACTTCTTCAGGTCACTGCTGACCCACCCAACTTCTTTCCCTTTGCACTTACCTCTATCAAATAACATCCAAATCTGTCTAAAGATTTTCATTACGCTGCTCAGCCTGTGTCTGAGTACGTAAAAATGGCCAACTCAAGCAGATGATTTGCTGCAAGCCTCTCCCTTCTCTGCTCTTTGTCTACAGCATGAGGGCAGTGTGCATAGCTTTTGTTTGCTTTTTGTTTTCTTTGAAATACTTGCACACAGTTTACAGGTCCTTCTAAATTACTGCTTAGCTAAGCAGGAAATGTTGAATTCTTACAACATTTCCCATCAGCCTCTCCTTCCAGCCCTTTAAAACCATGTTATGATTCTTTGAAGTCTTTTCTATTAGTCTACATTATTCAGAGGCTGTGGTGTGCCTAAGTACATGCAGGAGCACAGGTGCGATCTTTACGGCAATCTCAGGAGGAAAGGAGACATCAAGTAGCACAGAGTGTCATGGGGCCAACAGAATAACACTGGGTGTTCCATGTATGAGCATACAAAGGTTAGAGACCCACCAGAAAATGGCTGCAGCGAAGGCTACTCAGGAAGTCCAGAAATGCCCGGGTTCCAGAAGAAAGAGGATGAAAAGCTGTAATCTGTAGATGGAGAAGAAAAGCTAACCAGAACATAAGGAGAACGGAAAATTTCATTAATAGTTTCCACCTTGAAGTGATGGTAGTAGCAAGTATGTGCTGGGCAGTGTATTGCCTTGGGGGTGTCTGAGCACAGGACTAGTTGAGGTACAGCTAAATACAGTGTGCTTGTGCAAAAACCAGTAACAACATTAAAAATGTTCATAATTTTCTAAGCAAAGCAGGTAGAAAGTGTTTCTAAGCCCCATTATTACACAGATCAGCTTTGAAGGGTGGTTCCCCATTATGCTTCCAGATATTGCCCTCAAGGAGTGGCTCTATTTCCCATTGTGCGATCAAATTTCACAATCTTCTGTGAAACTGCCAGCTCAGCACCTGTTGTAGTTAGGTGTGATTTCCAGTGCAGCTCTTCATTTCAGAGTTGACATAAAGTTTGTTTTACATAAGAGTTGTAAGTGATAAATCTGTTAATGAGAAGGGGACGTCTGCCTTCTTGCCTGCCTTCTCGAAAAAGCAAGTGCTCTACAAAACCACAAAATACAGGTTTCCCACAGTATATGCCAGTGAGTAAGTGGGTGACTCGCAGTCACCTCCTCCATTTTCCCTGGAGTTATGGTGCTGTCTTGCCTTGCCCAGACACACGCACACACACATGCAACTACAGGCACATACATGTACACCCAAGAAAAAATGAAGGCCTTATCCCAGGACACATACACATTTCTATGACACCAGAAAACCAGACGAATTTTAAGCAAACTAATACATCAATGAAAGCAGCTTACATTTGGGAAAGGCACTTAATCATTAACATCTTGACAGAAATGTGTAAAGTGGCATGTAAGTGATGTAAGGGTCACCTCATCGAGCACTGAAATAATTGACAGACTTATAGGACACATGATAATTTTAAAGTCAAAACAGGATAAAGCCAGCATGTCTTTCTAATTCTCAAGCTGGTTTGGAAGAACCAAAAATTTGCCAGTCACTTAAAAGGTATTAAAATGAATTGTAAGGAAGCCTTGGTGGATAGCACTGAAACCTTGAAATATATCTAAATCTTACAATATAACTCCTAAGCACTCATAAAAACAAAACCAAAACCTGCTTTGAAGGATGCCTTATCCTATAATGGACATAAAAGAATTCTTTAAAAGGCAAAAAACACTTTCAGAAAACAAACACAAACCAACTGAAACGTGAAGGTTCTATATCCATCAGCCAGCTGCATGTTTGTCAATATGGACATTTCTCCAGAAGCTGTAAGAGCTGTTCCCCTCTCATCCATGGAGGGAATTCCTCCCTCGGGTAACTAAGGCACGTTGGCAGCAGCGTGCATCTCAGTGCACAACTCCACCTCTCTCCATCTGGCATCTTGGTTCTAGGAACACTAATCTTTGCTCTCAATTAACATCTTGGGTTTCGTCTTTGCAAAGGCAGAAACACGGTTTAAAATTTCTGCAGTGATGGATGAGTATACAAAGAACAGAAAATAAAAATACAAGGACTTAGGAAACACGTAACTTTAAATCATCAAGGAATTTCACAACCCTCAGGGTTTTTTCCAGCACGGAACCAATAAAACTGTTTACAACTTGATTCACTGAGCTTTATGATTTGAGTTAGTAATGACCAAGGTGCTAAAGTCTGGAAATTAAGTGGTTTGAATGTCCTAATCACCTGGTGTCCAAAATAACAACTGTTTAATAGAACTTAATCACTACTGTCAGTGCTGTGCATTTTCTCCTATTAAAGAAACACTTAATATTATTTAGCCTTTCATCACACCAACAGCACGTACAGGCTCCTTTGCCATCTAGTGGCTGCAGACACTGCACCAGGGCACGTCCAGGGTTCCCAAGCCCAGGACAGGCAGTGTGGATCTTCCCTGGCAAACACCCTCAAAGAGTATCACAGCATAGCTGACAAATTCATAACACTGATCCAAATGGTCAAGAAGGGAAAAGAAAACCCACAAAACACAAACTAATTCGAAAACACAGAAAAACCAGAACAGTTAACTCAAGGGTTCATTACCTATTGTTCTGTACCGTTTAGATGCAACTGGTTCAAGCTCAAACCTTTTATGCCTGTGCAATCAGGATAAAGCATCAGTCGTGACTAGTTTTAGATGGCACTGTATTTGAAATATTAACATTAAATAAGATCAACTAAACTATCAGAACTTTACCGTGCTTCAAGTTTATACTATTCAGCAAATTCACACTAGTGCTAAGGTTCTTTTGCCACCCTAGCAGCATTATAGGAATCTCCTCATCAACCTTGATCCCTACGAGAAGCAGAGCAAGTTCAAGTTTTCCCAATACCTGCCACTGGGACCTAGGGCTTTCTACTCTTTGGAAGGGACACCAAATGTCATTAATTCTGCTGATCACAGATCTTCTCATTCCTTTCAGTAAAGCAAAAGGGACAGTTGCTGAAGTTGTCTGTGAAACTGTCATTAACATGGAATTGCACAATGTCAGAAGAGCAAGTTGAGTGTAAAAGCAGGAGAATATAGTCTTGGTACAGTTAGCTGTTATGGCACCAGTTTTCCCAGTTGCCTATCAAGGGCATCTTAGACGGGGAGCAGTGCTTATTCTGGGCCAGTTGTAGCGACTGCAAAGGGAAAGTCACGTTTCCCTTTTTGCTGTAAGACTATCCTGATGAGACTTGCCAGAAAATTCAAAACGATGCTCTCTATTTTAAAGATGTCTGTTACCTGAAGGGCGTTTGAATTTTCCTTCTTGTTCTTACCTCTGGCTTTTATGAAACATGCTATCATAAATCATTTTGTCTGCGTGGCAGATAACACAGTTGTACAATGCAAGCTTCCTCACACCTGCGCTTTTCCTTTTCTCCTCAGACCCAAGCATGCAGTGTTGTGGTATCGAAAGCTACCACTGGTACTGAAGAAATAGTATTCTCAAAGACACTACCTAGCCCATGAACAGTTAGGGTTACACTTTTGTCATCCAGCCCACACAGAAAATAGTGTCATCTTCAGAATTTGTTCAGATGACCTTTAGAAACTTGCAGGCTTGGGGGTGAAGATAGAACAGTTTTTTCTCTGATTAGTGGTGAAAGCCAATAGCCACAGCTGGCACTGCAGTCATTGTGGACAGTCACAACAGAAAGCTCAGTGAATGGCACAGAAAACACCAAACTC